AGCGGCATTCAGCCCAATCATATCGCGGAGAGGGAGAACTGGAAGATCAGGATGCAAACACGACAAACAGGTATCTCTCCGGCTCAAGTGAGGAGGGGAAATGGACAATGGACTAAGAAAGTAAGCATCGGCCCAACGGCTGGAGAGAGATGAAGAATACGATATTGATATCTCTAATTGCATGCGGTCATCTGAACTATCTCGCTTTCTTTTGTTCTGTTTTCTTTTTGCTTATCCTGACTGAGTATTGGGTGACGTAACTGATCTTTTGTTCAAGATGAATCAATGAATGGACAACAATAAATAACAGAATAAAATAAAATAGAATAAAATAAAATAGAATAAAATAAAATACAATATGTAAAAAGAGTAAAAGAAAGAAGCATCCAACAAGAGATAGATACCCTCTGACATCGACAAGAGAAAGAAACCTTGGAAGAGACACTCAAATGAATCACATGCAGCCTTGCCGCCTTGCCGCCTTGCAGCCATGCATGCAGCTATGCAAACTGGGAATCGGAAATCAGAAATGGAAATATGGAAATATGGAAATAGAGGAATGAAAAGAAAATAAAGATAGGTAATGGAGACAGGAAAAGTAAAGGGTCTATCCGTGATATTATATTATGTCTTTTGTCGTCCCTCCAAACCAATGAATGATCCGCGAATAACAATCCCGTCCCGCCCCTTCCCATCGATTGCATAATACATCATTTAAAAAATTAAATATTCCTTGGGGTAATATTGGGATATTTCCGTGCCGGCTGCCCGTTGCTGCTGGTGATGACAATAAGATAAGACAAACAGCTAACTCCTGAGGGCGACAGGCGACGAGAGGCCCAGGGGGGGTGGGCGGAGGTTTAATATATAAATAAATAAGTAAAAAAAAAAAAAAAAACCCTGGTCTCAAACCATGTAAGTAGAAAAGAAAAGAAAAAGGGGAAAAAATGAAAATAAACGAAAAAAGCCGTAGTTTCCACCATAATCATTCCCATCTCAGCAGCTTTTGCAATGGGGTAAAGGGGTGTGTGTGTGGTTCGTTTTCTATTTTATCTTATTTTCCCTTTCCTTTCCTTTCCTTTCCTTTTCTTTTCCTTTCCCTTTTTTTTTTCCCATGAGGATAACATGCTAATGCAACTGTTTATGCGTCAGGCATTAGGCATTAGGTGACCCATCAACCATCCCCGCCCCACCCGAAATCACCCCCTCAACCAACCCCTTCGGCGACCCGGTGACAACCAACAACAAGACCACGAACAGAAAGCCGCTCGCGATGACAATCAGTCTGCGCTGGATGGGTTTTGCGCTGCCGTACTCTGCCCACACGCGACCCGCCTGGATGCTATTCCTTGAACTTCTCTGCGCCGAGCTTGTAGTACAGCATGCCGCCGAGGGCGATGCTGTAGCTGAATAGCTGGAGCGGGGTGACAGGGGTTTTCCAGTAGGCGGCCGAGATGCTGACGAGGAGAACGTCTTTAAGGACGCCGCAGAGGGTTAGGACGAGGGAGGATGTGCGGCCGATCTGGGTTTTGGTTTTATGGTGGTTAGTGGAGTGGGCAGGCTCGGGGATGGGGTGTTGAAGAAGTTGATGAGGGAGGTGAAAGGCAAAAAAAAGGGGGGGGATGGATGGATGGATGGATGGGAGAAAGAACGTACTAAGAACACGACGGAGACATTAAGGAGGAATGCAACCATGGCATTCATGATGAGTGTGATGACGCCGGCTCTGTAGATATTCTCCATCGACACATCCGGCACCTCCAGAACGAGAGAGACGATTCCATTCATGACCGCGCAGATGGGGGCGAAATAGTACAGCGAGACCAGGGGGTCCATCTTGAACTCCGCCGAGCTGAGGAGACGCTGCACCATGACGAGACGGATGGCCTCGAAGATAAGGCCGGCAATCTGGTAGAGGAAGCCGGTCATGACGAAGTGGATTTCTCCAAACGTGGCGATGACGACTCCTATGACGATGAAGGAGACGTTGAAGAGCACTTTCATGTTTGGCGGCGCAACGCCCAAGGCCCACGTAGCGAGGAGGGTAACGACAGGAGTGGTTGCCTTTTTAATTCATGTTAGCGGGATTAAGAGCCTGAGCCTGAGCCTGAGCCTGAGCCTGAGCCTGAGCCTGAGCCTCAGCTTGAGCGGGCGAGAGATAGATAGCCGGGTTGTAGCCGAACCTTGAGCATTTGGATGAAGGCCACGCTAAGATACAGATATGTCTTGTTACCACAGATCAAGCTCAAGCTGAAAAAGAAGCCGATGGGGACGATGGCGCGCAGGTAGACCTTTCCGGTCATCTTGACCTTCTTGCGGCCATCGAGTAGCGTGGTGGTCCGGGCAAGGATCTGGGTCATGAAGGAAGCGAAGGCCATATGCCATGTTGTGAGGATGACGGCTGTCGAATTGTGAGACATGGTTGCGCCACGGGCAGGCGAATTTTTGTTTCTTTTTTCTTTTTGGGTTGGGGGGAAGAATACATACGGAATGCTGTTATCGGAAGAAAGAATCGATTAGTCGTGTCATTCAGTTTGGCAATTTGAAGTAGGGTTTTTGCAAAAGTATTATATCCATGCAAAACGGGGGGGGGAAGGGGAAAAGGGAACAGGGAGGAAAAAAAAAAAAACAAAAAACTCACGAAAAATGTTCT